TCCAAGAGACTTTTATCTCCAATTAATCAGCTATAAGCCAGAAGCGGAACTGTGACTCAAGTAGTAGAAAGTTAACCTTGAGCAAAAAAGCTCAGGGACAAGAGTCCATGCCCTGACCCTGAGTTCAAGCCTCAGGAGCAGCACCAAACCACACACACACACACAAAAAAAAGTAGACTCTAAAATCACTTCTATTTTGCAACTGAAAAAGAGCTGCAACTGATTAAACTTTTTTCTGTGACAGCTAATTTTTCCAAGTAATAGAATAACAGGAAAGGCAGAGTGAATGAAACAGAGAGAGGCAAGTGCTGTTACTGACCTGGCATCTAGGAAGATCATCAGCCCACTGGCACAGTCAGGAGCAGAAATCCTCTTCAGGAAGCAGTCTGCCCAGTTCTAACTTCTAAGAGTTACTTATGGGGCTGAGACAAAAGCTCAGAAGTAGGCATTTGTACTGAAACTGAGAAAACCCACAAAACTGGGGGTGAAGTAGAGCTAGCTCACCACAGGGAGCAACAAAAGCCGTTGAGGGTGAAGCAAAACAATTTAGAGATTTATAAGCTCCCTGAGGATGAAGAAAACATACCCAGGCAAAGTCATCAGCCAGTGATTTTTCCGCAGGCATAGCAGCCTCCTAGAACACAAACACTTCCTGTGTCTTGACAGTGGCGTAAGGTTCTTTTGAAAACTTAACCCTTAAAATAGTTGATACTACAATTGCCTGGTGCTGCTGCTTTACTTACCGCAGTAGGTGTATGAAAGAGTTGCATCAGAGGAATTGCAGGCCCAGGGTTGCGCCTCAGATTCAATAAAAATGAAAGAAAACAGAGTAGAGAAAAGCATAAATGGTAACATGTCTCTGTATCCCCAAAAGTTGAAACATTGGAGAAGGATCAGAAACTACTCATCAGCCTCTCTTCCCTTACAGTAAATAGGAAAGATTTAACTTCCTCATCAGTCACGTGGTTTCTGAGATCCTAGACCACTGCTTCCTCTTTTTATGTGTCAATGTGTGTTAATCCTGCTGCAGGAAGAAAAGGATTAGAATAAGCTGTGTGTGAACACTTGATGAAAATGAAAGTGACTCTCGAGTTTAAAAAACAAAGTACCAAGAGCTAGTATGGCTCCTCTGTAATCCTAGCTACCGTGGAGGCTAAAATTTGACAATCACTGTTTGAAGCCAGCCAGGCAGACAAATCTAAAAGACTTTCTATCTCCTACTAACCAGTAAAAAGCTGAAAGGAAAGGTGAGGCTCTAGTGGTAGAGCACCAGCCTTAAGAAAAAAACAAAAACAAAAGGGAGAGCATGAGACCCTGAGGTCAAGTCCCAGTACTAGCACAAAAACAAAAACCAAGGTACTTCCCAAGGATAGCAAGACAACCATCCACTGGTCTCCTTAAGTCTTAAAAGATGTCATATATACTAATGAAAAAGTACAATACTCTCCTCTCTCTCTCTCCTCTCTCTCTCTCTCTCTCTCTCTCTCTCTCTCTAACACACACACACACACACACACACACACACAAAGGCTTAAAAGATGTTCCTTTCCATCTGCACTAGGAAAGTTCTTTAAGCGGGCGTCAGTGGCTCACGCCCGCCCGTAATCCTAGTTTCTCAGGAGGCTGCAAAGTGGCACTGTGGCTCAAGTGGTGGAGTACTGGCCTTGAGATGAAGAGCTGAAGGATAGCGCCCAGGCCCAGAGTTCAAGCCCCAAGACTGACAAAAAATAAATAAATAAAAAAGAAAAGCTCTTTTTACGACAGTTTCTCATAACCATGACCTAGGCTTGTTACTTTGAACTGAAGTGTCTTATGCAAACATTTTGCTTACACAAGGTTCAGCCATATACAGAAGAGGCTAGTTGAAATCCATACATTGAGGTAGTTCTATGCTGTCTCCAGAAAGTGTTCTGATTCAGAATTTATTCATCATACAAACTAGAGCTTGATTAAATTTTTTGGTTTTGGTTTGATTTGGCTTGGTGTAATGCTAGGAATTGAACTCAGGGCCTCATGCAATACTATAGCCAAGGGCTCATCAACTGAACTAAGAACCATCAAGGGAATATTTGGAATCTCAATAATAGTATGTTATTTAATATGACAAGTATTTCCCTCAAGACTTTCATTCTGTTTTAGAAAAAAAATGTTATTATTTTGATGCTTTGCTCCTTGGAACCCTTCATATCATGTTAAGGGTTAGGAATAAAAAAAAAATGGCATGGAGTAGTAGCCTAAAATCTGTATGTTTAAACTGGGTGCTGGTGGCTCATACCTGTAATCCTAGCTACTCAGGAAGCTGAAATGTAAGGATAGCTGTTCAAAGCCAGCCTGGGCAGGAAAGTCCATGAGACTTTTTTTTTTCTTTTTTGCTTATGTGGTGCTGAGGAATCAAACCCAGGGCCTCAGGCATGCAAGGCAAGTGCTCTACCACTGAGCCACCTTCCCAGCCCCCCATTAGACTCTTATCTCTAGTTAACCACCAGAAAACCAGAAGTGGTGCTATGGCTCAAAGTGGTAGAGCGCTAGCCTTGAGCTGAAGAGCTGAGGGACAGCACCCAGGCCCAGAATTCAAGCCCAATGACTGACAACAACAACAAAAATGTATACTTCACAGCAAAATAATCGAGTCAGACACCTTTAATTCTTAGCAACTCAGAAGGCAGAGGTCTGGAAGACTCAAGTTCAGAGCCAGTCCTAACAGGAAAGTGAAACTCGATCTCCAATTAACCAGTAAAATGCTGGACTGGAGTCATGGCTCAAATGGAAAAATACCACCCAAGCAAGTAAGAATGTAATGCCCTGAGTTATTGCCCTGTCTCCTGAGTTACAGGAGACAGATCTGAGGATCCAGTCCAAATCCAGTCAGGGCAGATAAATCCAAGAGACTCTTAGATCCCATTAACCAGCAAAGAGCCAGAAATGGAGGGTCACAGAGAGAACAAATGCAGCAGTGGTACTCAGTAGAAAATACATTAAAAAATGAACTATATAACTTGTGGACAGGGATGGGAGGGGAAAATTGGGAAAGAATAAAGGGGTGCCATTGTCCAAAAGAAATATACTGATTACCAAACTTATGAAACAGCAACCCCTCTGTACATCACCTTTATAATAATAATTTTAAAAAAAAATTTTTTTGGTTGGTCATGGGGCCTGAACTCTGGGCCTGGACACTGTCCCTCAGCTCTTCAGCTCAAGGCTAGCACTCTAAAACTTGAGCCATAGCACCACTTCTGGTTTTTTATGTGTATGTGGTGCTGAGGAATCAAACCTAAGGCCTCAAGCATGCAAGGCAAGCACTCTGCCACTAAGCCACCTTCCCAGCCCCAATAATTTAAATTTTTTTTTAAATTTAAGCCAGAAGTGGACCTGTGTCTCAAAATGGTAGAGCACCAGCCTTGAGTGAAAAAAAACAAGCAAAACATAAGTCCCTAAGTTCAAATCCCAGGACTGATACTGGGGGTGAGGAGGGGGAAGATGAACAACGGCTCCTAGCAATCAGTGGTACAATAATGTAAATATAATTAACACTATTTATCTGTAGTGAGGCATACTTGTAATCACAGTACTCAGGAGGCTGGGTACTAATTACCACAGTAACCACAAGCTTTGATGGGATAGTTCACATGTGGTACACCAGTTTAGTTGGAACTTGATTTTGTAACTGGGAGTTTCTGTTCTATTAATGGTCCACCCTGACAGCTGACAACACCCCTCTCTTTCTAGTCAAGGTCCATCATTCTCATTCTTCAGGTTCTGCCTATTGGAGGTTTTTAGTTCTATCAGTCATTTTAAGTCAGCTGCTAGAATTTTGCTCCTATGTCCTGAAAAGCCAGTCGAACATTTCTTGGGGGGGTTGTCTTTTCGTGACTGTTTGTGCCAACAGAGCTGACTCCTTCTGGAATCTCTAGTGCAAGAATGCCTTTTTCAAATTCTATTGCTACAATCTTCCATGTTCAATGTGCAGGGCTGCAGTCTCTTCTCCCATCATCCTATCCTCTCTGACTCCCAGCTTCCTTCTTACAAAGATCTCTGTGATTACAATGAACCAGTGTAATCCAATCTATAATCATTCACTTCAATTTGTCTGCAAACCTTTTTTGTTGTTTGCTGTACTGGGATTTGCAGAGCCACTCATGCTCCACAGGCATTCTACTACTTAAGCCACATCCCCAGAGTTGTGAAATCCATTTAGAGCTAATGATTGACTGAGAACACAAAAGGGAAGGACAAATTGGATAACCAACTGAAGATAGCACTGCTTAGACTTACCTTTTCCCTTACAGCTAACCACAAACTCAACTGCACATTCTTACTATGGCAACTATCCCAGGGGAGTTAGGCAAAAACCTGTGCTCTACTTAGCAATCCATGAATTGAAATCCCATTTGGCTTGTTTGGTTGGTACTCGACCACTAGGGCCATGACTCCAGCTCATCTTTTTTTCCTTTGTTGTAGATCCTAGGGCTTGAACTCAGGGTCTGGGCACTGTCCCTGACATTTTTGCTCAAGGCTAGCTTTCCACCATGTAAGCCATAGTCCCACTTTTGGATTTTGGTGGTTAATTGGAGATAATAGTCTTATGAACTTGCCTACATTGGCTGGCTTCAAACCTTGATTCTCAGATCTCAGACTATTGTGTAGCTATGATTACAGACATTCAGCATCCAGCCCAGCTTTTTACAGGTTATGTTGGAGACAGAGGCGTGAGGACTTTTCTCCACAGGCTGGCTTCAAATCACAGTCCTCCTGATCTCATCTTCCTGAGTAGCTGTGATTATAAGCCCAAGTCACCAAAGTGCCTGGCTCAAAAGTTTAAGTAGGAAAAAAAATATTTCTCTATTTAGAAAAATCCAAACACAAAGAAAATATAACTCTCCTTTTCCTTCTGACATTCAATCCCCAGTTCAGAGACAACCAAACATATAATCAATGCATGCCAGTATGTATCTGCACATTCACATGTAAAACATTACAAAGGATCATCATTCTGATAATGAATTAGAAGCTGTTTAATAGTTTTAAGTTATTTTTAATAATCACTAACAAAAAAGAAAAGGCAGTCTTATACACCAAAACACAGATTACAATTACAGTAGTTACAAACATAACAGCAACAAGGCCCATTAATCATCGTCAAGCTGATTCTTTGTACTAGCCTCCTCTGTATCAAAAGTGAACGGTTTGTCATAACCCATTAGATGGTTATAGTCATCAGGATTTGTAAAGAGCACGGGATTAACTAACAATGACTTTGTTTTTGCATAAAATGTGGTAAACAAATGTGCACTGTTGGGGATCTTCACATCATTCTGGTGAAACACTGTGCTCATTTCTGAAAGCAAAACGCTGTAAGTAATAGCTTTGTAAGTGTCCGTCGTGGGCTCATGGTATAACCGAACGACATAGCCTTTTGTAAGGAAGTGAAGCAGTGTTGGGGTGATCACTGTAAAGCTTCCTAGGACGCCATAAAATAAGATTTGTAAAGGCAGACTTCCAAATATAATGTTACTCTGTGCAAACAGGTATGGTAGAAATGCAAGGCTGAGCACACTTGTAGAATAAGAGAAACATTTCACACCTAAAGGGAAAAAAGAGAAAATGATTAATACTTTTAAATTACATATAAGAATCAATTCATAAAAAAAAAAAAGAATCAATTCATCCTAGTAATTCTTTCATCTTTCTTATAGTGTATCATCATGAAAGCATTACCAATGTTTAAATCCTAGTATTATCACAAGAAAACAAACAAAAAAAGCATCACAATGAGATAAAAATACAAATTACACTGCTTTATTACATGCCAGAATCTCTTAAGCAATTTTCCACACATTAATAATAAAATCTATCTATGAGATGAGTGTATAATAGTCAATACCACAATAAAAAGTAGAAAAGGAAATGCCAGAGGAACTCAATTTGGAAGCAGATCTGGACTTCACAATGGAACCTGTCTCAAAAAACAAAAACAGAGAGCAAGGATAGGGCTAGGTACGCAGCTTTGTGGTAGAATATCTGTCTAGCATGAGTGAGTCTCACAGATTTCTGCCCAGGCTAGCTTTTGTTTTTATTGGTCATGAGGCTTGAACTCTGGGCCTAGGCGCTGTCCCTGAGCTCTTCAGCTCAAGGTGGGTGCTCTACCACTTGAGCCACAGTGCCAATTCCGGTTTTCGGAGTGGTTTATTGGAGATATGAGGCTCACAGACTTTCCTGTCCAGGCTGGCTTTGAACTGTGATCCTCAGCCTCCTAGGTAGCTAGGATTACAGGTGTAAGCCACTGGCACCCAGCCCAAGCTAGCTCTAACCTGCTTAAGCTGTGGCTCAAATGGCAGAATGACAGCCTTGAGGAAAAAAAAAGAAAAAAAAGCTAAGAAACAGCATCCAGGCCCTGAGTTCAAACCCCACAACCAACAATAAAATATCACGCCCATAATACTAGCTACTCAGGAGGCTGAGGATTGTGGTTCAAAGCCAGCCCAGGCAGGAAAGACCATGAGACTCTTATCTCCAATAAACTACTCAGAAAACCAGAAGTGATGCTATGGTTCAAGTGGTAGAGCAGTTCCTTTTCTTGAACTGAAGAGCTGAGGGACAGAGCCCAGGCCCAGAGTTCAAGCCCCACAACTGACCAAAAAATAAATAAATAAACAAAAATAATAATAATATTTAAAAATAAACAAAACAGCAAGTTTTTTTTGTTTTTGCCAATCCTGGGCTTGAACTCAGGGCCTGGGCCACTGTCCCTGAGCTTCTTTTTTCTTTTACTCAAGTCTAGCACTCTAGCACTTGAGCTACAGTGCCACTTCTGACTTTTTCTGTGTATGTGGTACTGAGGAATCGAACCCAGGGCTTCATGAGTGCTAGGCAAACACTCTATCACTAATTTACAAATTTACTTAAGATGTTAATTTCTCTTAGTTTTAACTTACAATTTTAACATGATAGTAATCAAAGTACCATCTCTTTGGAACACTAAACAACTGAGATCCAAAACAAATATTTTGACGTTTATTTGAAAAAACAAAAGAATAAAAATACCAACAATGACAGCCAGGTATCAGCAGCTCACACTTGTAATTCTAGCTATTCAGGAGTCTGAGATCTGAGGATCTCAATTCTAAGCCTGCAAGAGCATGAAAGTTCATGAGACTTTTATCTCTAATTAACCATCAAAAAGACAGAAGAGGAGCTAAGGCTCAAGTGAGAGAGCACCAGCTGTTAGTGAAAAAACTAAGTGATAGTGTCCAGGCACTGAGTTCAAAAGCAATGGGGAAGCCAGGCGCCAGTGGCTCGCGCCAGTAATGCCAGTAATCCTAGCTACTCAGGAGGCTGAGATCTGAGGCTAGATGGTGACTCAAAGCCAGCCTGGGTAGGAACGTCCGGGAGACTCTTATCTCCAATTAACCACCAGAAAAAACTGAAGTGGCACTGTGGCTCAAGTGGTAAAACACTCACCTTAGCTGAAGAGCACAGAGATAGTGCCCAGGCCCAGAGTTCAAGCCCCACAACTGACAAAAAAAAAAAAAGTAGTGGGGGAGGGGAGAGAACTAAACTTCATTCATAAGAAATACGCAATTGAAACTACAGTATGCTACTGGTTTTCTCCCAAATTGGCAAACCTAGAAGTATAACATACTGCTGCTGAAGCTGTAACAAAGAATAAATCCATACACTGCAGCTGGCTGAAGGTTTAATTATCTGGTGTTAGTAGTTTAAAAATAGTAGCTTCCTTCTTCCCACAGGTAGTTGCTATGACATCAGTATGCGTGGGATAAATGAGGACCAAGTGGCCTCATTATAAGTTCCCTCAGCCCTTCCCTATTCCCTAATACCTTTGTCACATCCTAGTGGGTTAAAACAAAAAGTATCCTCCATAAAATTCATGTCTACCCAGAACTTCAGAATGTAACCTTATTTGGAAATGTTTCTGCAGACTTTAAAGATTGAGATGGGATCATGCTACATTAGGGTGAGCCCTAAATCATATGAAAATGTCCTAATAAGGCAGAAAATAGGACAAAGAAGACTATCCTGTGAAGACTACAGCAGAGACTAGAGTTATGGCAGCCATAAGCCCAGGAATGCAAATGACTGCCAGGAACCACCAGGAGTGGCAAAAATTATTCTCTAGAGCCTGCAAGCCATCATAACACTGCCGATACCTTGATCTTGTATTTCTCCCTGCCAAATTGTGGCAAAATAAATTTCTGGTGCTGGGAATGTTGTTTGGTGGTAGGTGCTTGCCTAGCATGCATGAAGCCCTGGCTTCAATTCCTCAGTACCACATAACAGAAAAAGCCAGAAATGGCGCTGTGGCTCAAGTGGTATAACACTAGCCTTGAGCAAAAGCAGCTCAGGGACAGTGCCCAGGCACTGAGTTCAAACCCCAGGACTGGAAAAAAATATAGATAGGTAGATAGATAGATACATACATACATACATACAAACATATATATACACACATACATAGATAGATAAAAACATACATATAGATATATAGCAAATTTGTGTTTTGCTGGGGGGTTTTTTTTGGTCAGTCATGGGGATTGAACTCTGGGCCTGGGAGCTGTCCCTGTGCTCTTCAGCTCAAGGTGAGTACTCTACCACATGAGCCACAGCACCATTTCCAGTTTTCTGGTGGTTTATTGGAGATAAGACTCTTGTGGACTTTCTTGCCCAGGCTGGCTTTGAACCGTGATCCTCATATCTCAGCCTCCTGAGTAGCTAGGATTACAGGAGTGAGCCACTGGCACCTGGCAAATTTGTTCTTTCTTTGTCAGCCAAGGGGCTTGAACTCAGAACCTGGGCGCTTTGAGCCACAGCTCCCTTCTGGGTTTTGAGTGGTTAATTAAAGAGTTTCATGGGGACTTGTGGCCTAAGCTGGCTTTGAACTGTGATCCTCAGACCTCAGCCTCCTGCGTAGCTAGGATTATAGGCATGAGCCACAGGCATCAGCTAAATTTCTCTTCTTTTAGGTCACTAAATTTATAAAAATGTATGTCAGAAATCTAATCTATTATCTTACTTTGTCTGGAGTGAAATAATTGCTATTTCCTTTCTTTTTCAGGTACTTGGGTTTGAACTCAGGGCCTTGAACTTGCTCAGATGGAACTCTACTACTTGAGCCATACCCCCAGCTTGGCTTTTGCTAGGTTTTGGTTTTTTTTTGGGGGGGGAGGTCAGTCATGGGGTTTGAACTCTGGGCCTAGGTGTTATCCCGGAGCTCTCCAGCTCAAGGTTAGCACTCTACTACTTGAGCCACAGCGCCACTTCCTGTTTTCTGGTGCTTGATTGAAGATAGGATTCTCAGGGACTTTCCTGCTTGAGCAGCTGGCTTTTGCTAGTTTTATGGAGATGTAGTCTCACAGGTTTTCTGCCCAGGTTGCCTTCAAACCTCAATCCTCCCAATCTCAGCGTCCTGAGAGTAGGTAGGATTATAGGCATGAATCACATAAGTGACCAACTAAAGGCTATTTGGGGAGAGGAGACAGTAGTGGGGTTTGAATGCAGGCCCTCATGCCCTCATACTTAGTGTAAAGGCACTTTACCACTTCATACATACCTCCAGCCCCTGTAATTAGTATTTTTTTTCCTTTGTACTGAACATGGGACTTGAACTCAGGGGCTAGACCCTGTCTCTGAGCTTTTTCGCTCAAGGTTCTCTGCCACTTGAGCCACAGCTCTACTTCTGGCTATTTGGGTGCATAACTGGAGATGAGTCTCATGGCAGCCGGGCGCCGGTGGCTCACGCCTGTAATCCTAGCTACTCAGGAGGTTGAGATCTGAGGATTGTGGTTCAAAGCCAGCCCTGGCAGGAAAGTCTGTAAAATTCTTATCTCCAATAAACCACCAGAAAACTGGAAGTGGCGCTGTAGCTCAAGTGGTAGAGCGAAAGCCTTGAGCTGAAGAACTAGAGACAGTGCTCAGGCCCAGAGTTCAAGGCCCATGACTGACAAAAAAAACTGACAAAAAAAAAAAAAGGCTCATGGCAGAGCTGGCTTTGAAATAAGATGCTCAGATTTCAATCTCCCAAGCAGCTAGGATTACAGGCATAAGCCACCATCATCTAGTGGCTTTCGCTGTTGTATCTTTCTTCAATACTACTTCGGTGCCTGGGATGCCCTTCTTTCTTCATATTCAAACTCTACTTAACTCATCCAGAAGGAAAGCCATGTTGATGTGGTCTTTTCTGTTCTTTCTCTCCTTAGTCTGAAAATAATATATAACCTGCCTCTTGAACTCAAATCTATTGTATAATTTTATAAATAGGATTATTATGAGGTATTTGTTCCACCTTATATTTGAGTAACAAAATTCCAACACAAAGCCCCTGACACAATGCATAGCAAATACTTCAATGACATCTCTAATTATTTATGAATCAATAACTGAGAACTATGAAATATGTACCCATATGGCAATTTGGGGAATTGCCAAGAATGATATCTCTACCTTAATGGCTCTCTTCAATTGCCACAGAAAATAGTGATCTGATAGTGTCTTTCTAACACTAAAATAATTTAAACACTAAATTCCTCTATAAGTTAAAATTGTAAAAATAAACAAAATTATCATGAAGTTATACCAGCCCACAAATACTATGTCCTACCCACACCAAAACTAATTTCTATTTTCCCCTTTCTAGAAAGAACCTGCTCTACATTTCACTTTATGTATTGACTTTTTTTTTTTTTTGTCGGTGGTGGAGCCTGAACTCTGGGTCTGGTCACTGTCCCTCAGCTCTTCAACTCCATTTGAGCCACAGCGCCACTCCTGGCTTTTTCTGCTTATGTAGTGCTGAGGAATCGAAACCAGGGCCTCATGCAGGCAAGGCAAGCACTCTACTATTTAGCCATCTTCCCAGTCCCATGTACTGACTTTTTAGACAAATGTCTAGAACTCAGAAGGCTTAGGCAGTAAGATTAAGACTTAAGGACAGGGCCAGTGCTGATGGCTCATGCCTATAATCCTAGCTACTCAGGAGGCTGAGATCTGAGGATCACAGTTCAAAGCCAGTCTCAGCAGGAAAGTCTGTGAGGCTCCTATCTCCAATAAACCACTCAGAAAACTGGAAGTGGCACTGTGGTGGTAGAGTGCTAGCCTTGAGCTGAAGAGCTGAGGGACAGCACCCAGGCCCGGAGGTCAAGCCCAAGGACCTACAAAAAAAATTAAAAATTAAAAAATATCATTCATTGAATGATTAAAATATATAGTGTCTATTATGAAGATAGCAGAAGAAACTCACTGAAAATGAACAAGAGGGTAGAGGAATGTGGAGACAGTCATAGGTGAGGTTAATCTGACTAAGTATAACAAATGCAGGTATCAATTACCATAGTAAAACCTCTGTGCAAGCAATATATGCTAAAATTTTTTTTCTTTTTGGTGCCAGTCAAGCCCCACAACAGGAAGGGGGTATGGGGAGGCAGGGACGGGCAGTGGGAAGAAATAGAAAGACACTTAAGTCTCACTCTCTACATCTTATAAACAGTCTTCTAAAAAAATTATAATCGTCTTATATAATTGAAAGATGCTAAAACAATGAGTAAAAAAATACTTATGTATACACATATTGAAAGGAAAAAACAAGAAATATCCTCACTTTTGATTACCCACCAAATACTGCACGAGACAGATTCCCAGTATAAATCAGCCTTCCATCTTCTGATTTGTCAAGCTGTGTATGTATGCATCGAACACATCCTTGCCAACAATTAGGAATCTATTGACACAATGAATCCATAATGAGTGCACAGTAAATTAAATTTTACATTTTAAAAGTTTGTTTTAATAAAGAAACTGTCCCAAATCTACAGATTAAACTGCATGCCATAATAATTTTGCTTAATTCCAGTCATAAGTAGAAATCTGCTAAGTTGGAGCTTAGTAGGTTTGCATCTCAGCTCTCAGACTTTTGCATCTAGTGTCACCTTGAACACATTAAAAAAAAAAAAAAAAAAGAATAGTGGAAGTGAGCTGGTGGCTCACGCCTGTAATCCTATCAACTAAGGAGGCTGAGATCTGAGGATCGCGGTTCAAAGCCAACCCAGGCAAGGAAAGGCGGTGGGACTATAATCTCCAATAAACCACCAGAAAACTGGAAGTGGCGCTGTGGCTCAAGTGGCAGAGTGCTCTCCTTGAGCTGAAGAGCTCAGGGACAGAGTCCAGGCCCAGAGTTCAAGACCCATGACCACCACTACCAACAACAAAGGTGGAATTTTCTTAACAAGAATATCTTGTGCATTAGGCTTAAACACAATGGTTAGTCATCAGAGTATAGCACAGTGGTGAAGCACCTGCTAGCATAAATAAAATTAATTTTAATACATTTATCTAAGCAAAACAATCTGCAAATCCAAACCTTGCATTATGGCTTGTAGTTTTAAAAAAAAGAGCAAATAACTTTGTAAAGGATCTTTCATTCCCTATTCCATTCATTCACTGATTCTTTGACAATGGGTCTCACTAATGTAGCTCAGGCTGGAGCACACAATCCTCCAGCCCTGGGATCCACACAGAGGGCAGGGTGTGCTGAGATTACAGGTGTGCCTCGGCGTGCCTCCTCCTTCATTAACATGGAGGTTTTACTTGAAAGGTTACATCAAATTCTTACAGAAACAAAGGAGTCCTCGCAACTTCTAAAAGTGGATTTCACGGGCCCACAGATCAAAATGCAAAACGCATGCTTGATCCCCTCCATGGTGAAACTTAACTAATAAAAGGAAAAAGTAACCACTTTCCGGCGGCGTTCCCACCGTGCTGCAAGCGCGAGGCCCGGGGCCGACCCCGGCCCCGGCCCGAGGCCTCGGCCTGCCGCACCCGCGAGCCCCGCAGCCCGCGCGCACCAGGCCGGACGGGGAGGCCGCGGAGGCTCCCGAGCCCACGCCATGCCCGCTCCCCCCTCACCCAAGCCCGAGACGGCCGACCTGCGCTCGCCCGGGCCACGGGAGAAGCGGCGCGGCGCCTGGCGACCCCGCGCTCCCGCCGACGACCAGCCCCGAGGGCCCGCGGCAGGAGGCCGCTCGCGAGACGGCCGCGCTGGGGCCTCGCAGCGCCGCGGCTGCCCACGCTGCGGTCCTCTTCCCGCCCGGCCGCCAAGCAGCAGCCCACCGGCCGCCGAAAGCCAGCAGCAGCATCTCGCGGACGGAGGGCGAGCGGGGGCTGTCGGCCCCGCGGGAGCAGCTGAGGACGGCAAAGCAAGGCCCCGCAACAGCCGGCCCGACCGCAGGAGCGCGCCGCCCCGAGGGCCGGCAGCGCGGCGTGCGCTGGCTGCGGCGCTCGGCCGGCAACTCTCCCGGCCGCCGAGGGTTCCGCCGGCAGAGGCAGCGCGAGCACCCGCTCTCCCCAGGGTGTGGCTCACGCTGTTTTTGTTGGGGTTCCCCCCCCCCATGCTGTTACAGTAGCTTGAAATTTAGCGCCTGCGCCCAGACCCAAGGCTGGCACTCCACCGCTTGAGCCACACTTCTACTTCTGGCTGTTTGCTCTTTTTTGGCTGGTCTAGAGTTTGAACTCAGAGCCTGGGAACGGTCCCTGGGCCTCTTTATGCTCAGGGTTAGCACTCGAGCACTTGTTGGTTTTCTGGGGATGAATTGGAGATCTGAGTCTCAAAGACTTTCTTGGCTGGGCTGGCTTCCAACCTTAATCCTCAGATCTCAGCCTCCTGAGTAGCTAGGATTACAGAGCCATCTGCTCCTGGTTTGCTTCATGCTAGTTAATTGGAAGTCTCAGATTTTTCTTCCTGGGCTGGCTTCTTAGCAGTGAGGAGGGGAGGGGGGGGGGGGCGATCTTCAGAAGATAAAATTACTTATTTCTGAGTAACGGTTTTCGTACAGTTAGTGTCTCGTTTTTCTTTTTCTTTATTTTTACTTTTTGGTTCTGGTCCTGGGGCCTGAACTCAAGGCCTAAGCACTGTCCCTGAGTTTTTGTGTTCAAAGCTAGTGCTTCATCACTTCAGCCACAACACTACCTCCTGTGTTTGGTAGTTAATTGGAGATTTATAGACTTTCCAGCATCAACTGTCTTGGATTGCAATCCTTATTGCTCAGCCTCCTAAGGAGCTAGGATTACAGGCATGAGCCACCAGCACCCAGCAGTATAGACTTAACAGGAATTCTAACAAGCCAGTGTTATACTTTCTAAGAACCACTGCAGCCACATTAGACACGAAAATAAAGACCTGTCTCAGCAAGGCAAAATTTACTTCTACAAAATGGTGCACCAAGCAGGTCACTAGTGGCTCACACTTGTAATTCTAGCTACTCTGTGGGCTGAGATCTTAGGATCGTAGTTCAAAGCCAGGCAGGAAAGTCTGAGACTTTTTTTTTTTGGGGGGGGGGGGGGAGGGTCCAGTCGTGGGGCCTGAACTCTGGGCCTGGGCGCTGTCCCTCAGCTCTTCAGCTCAAGGCTAGAGCTCTACCACTTGAGCCACAGCACCACTTCCGGCTTTTTTTTCTTTTTGCGTATGTGGTGCTAAGGAATCAAACCCAGGGCCTCAGGCATGCAAGGCAAGCGCTTTACCACTGAGCCACCTTCCCAGCCCCAAATCTGAGACTCTTATCTTCAATTAACCACCGGAAAACCAGAAGTGGCACTGTGGCCTAAGTGGTAGAACACTTGCCTTGAGCTGAAAGAGCTCAGAGACAGCGGCCAGGCCCAGAGTTCAAGCCCACGACCAACAAAATAAAAATAAAGATGGTGGGCCACCAGCCAAAACTCTTGTAAGTAAGAACACAGAAATCAGGCTGCTTGGGGCTGGGAAGGTGGCTCAGTGGTAGAGCGCTTGCCTTGCATGCCTGAGGCCCTGGGTTTGATTCCTCAGCACCACATAAGCAAAAATCAAAAAAAGCCATTAGTGGCTCTGTGGCTCAAGTGGTAGAGCTCTAGCCTTGAGCTGAAGAGCTGAGGGACAGCGCCCAGGCCTAGAGTTCAGGCCGTATGACCATACCCCGCCCCCCCAAAAAAGAAATCAAGCTGCTCCCCTATTTATTCCTAACTCAGCAGGTCCTGCCCCCTCTGCTCAGATTGGTTGAGCTCAGGTTTACAATCTGCTCTGGATTGGCTAGTTTGAATGTTAAGATGTATTTACATCAGGTGACCATTAAAAGACTTTGAAATAAAATTAACAGTACATGGTCTCAAAACATGGCCACATATTCACCTATTCTTGATCATTCTAAGGTATGTCTTCTGAGGTATGTCTTAATTCTGTTGGAAAAATCAATTAAGATGAAGCTTTACACTTAAAAGTTCCTGTACTCTTTACCTGACTTATGTAACTGCAAATCACCTTTATAATAACAATTTTTTAAAAATCCTTAAAGCAGTCCTCTTTCCCTTTCAGACCAGAGCAGGATCTTTCAAGCAACATAATTTGATTTAAAAATAAAAAGACAGGGCTGGGAAGGTGGCTCAGTGGTAGAGCGCTTGCCTTGCATGCATGAGGCCATGGGTTCAATTCCTCAGCACCACAAGCAAAAAAAGAAAAAAAACGGAAGTGGCGCTGTGGCTCAAGTGGTAGAGCACTAGCCTTCAGCTGAAGAGCTGAGGGACAGCACCCAGGACCAGAGTTCAGACCCCACGAACGGACCAAAAAATTAATTAGTTAATTAATTAAAAAAATAAAGTTTTTCTTATATCAGGAAAGGCTCCTAGCCAGGTACCTGTGGCTCACACCTGTAATCCTAGCTACTCAGGAGACTGAGGTCTGAGGATCATGGTTCAAAGCCAGCCCAGGCAGGAAAGCCCATGAGACTCTTATCTCCAATAACCTTAGTTATGTTATCTCCTGCCACCAGGCTTTTCCATATGAGAAAAGTCTTTTCTATCAAAGTAATTGATTTCCTTTCTGTTTATGTTGTGAAATTTTTCTGAAAAATTCCTGCTTTGGCCAGATGGTTTGGGCCTTGTTAATTACATTTTAATTACATCCTTTTCCCACTGCACTTTAATTAAAATATCCTATTCATAGCTCCTTGAATTTTAATTACTTCCTGTTAATTAAGCCATATCCTTTGCAGATTGGGAACCTGAGCTCAGCCAATCTGAACAGAGGGGCAGGGCTTCTAGGTTAAGGATAAAAAGGGAATAGTGTGCCTGTCCTTGTGCTTGCTTGACAGATTTCTGGCTAATGTTGCATCCTTCAGAAGTAAACTTTCCTTTACCAAGTTCCTTTTGAGTTGGTATCCTCATTCCTATAGAATACCCAACATCTTGAGCTGTTTCTTGCATCCATATTAGGTTTATATTATGGCCATGGCTGCCACAGTCTACATTATTGAGGACAGTTTGAGAGAGACCACTTTCTGTGTTTTTCTGCAGATCATTTGGTACTGTTCTAATAAGAACCTAACTTAGAAACCAGCCCTGAAGAAATGATTGTTTGAAATATTATAATTGACCCTCTAAATTTTAGGAAGGACAAAATATACCTGGCACACACATAAGCAGCTAAATCCTATCCCTTTTGCATAGGAGTTTTGATGAGCAAGTCTTTGAGGTTTACAGCAGGATCCCTTTATATCAATGTTTTATCCTTGGGTCCCATCCCTGAGAAGTCATCTCTTCACAGTAAAGAGAACTTTCCCTCTGAGGAATTGTGCATTTGCCAGGAGCTCTGATGTAGAAGACCAGAAAAGCATGATTAAACTCTGTATCCATTGATCCTTTTCTTCTCCCTAAGCTCCATTGCTTGAGTCAGAGGAAACAGTTACTTATGTGCACTCCTGCCTGGGAGAAGAGCACCAGTATCTGGAAGAGTTACCATTGATGCCTGTTAGAGTAAATTAGACTTTGCAGAAAATCACATAGACATCCAGGTACAAAGAACAAAGAAAAGGTTTATTGCCAGCCAAGGGACTGGCAATACCCCTTCTCACAAGTGAGAAATGAGAAGAACTGTTTGTCTGAGGTGCCCTATAAACCTACTGAGGTTTAGGAGGGGCTAGAAGGGGCTATGAGGCAGAGACCCTGGTGTGGATGTGAGGACCAGGGGCCTTATCATGGTGGACCAGGATTTATGACTGCTGCCCAAGTAGTAGATAAGGGGCTCTGCAGCTACCCAGACCTGAAGCTCACTCTAAGGGGTTCTTGCTGCCTTATATGGTGGCAGCTGCCCCAGAGGGGTGCCATCTCAAGGCAAAGGGTGGTGGGAGGGTTGGAGGCTGATTATTTACTGCCTTTACTAAATGGACCTAGTGTTGCCTAAGAAGGGAGCATATGCTAAGCTGTGGAGAGAGAAGGAGGGTGCTAAACTGTGGGAAGGGAGCTCATTGGGCTAACAATGCAAGTGCGGTGCGGTGGGTTCTTGTTCTCTGACAACATAGAAATAAGTCCAGGAGGGCTGGGAAGGTGGCTCAGTGGTAGAGCGCTTGCCTTGCATGCTCGAGGCCCTGGGTTCGATTCCTCAGCACCACATAAGCAAAACGAAAAAAGCCAGAAGTGGCGCTGTGGCTCAAGTGGTAGAGCGCTAGCCTTGAGCTGAAGAGCTGAGGGACAGCGCCCAGGCCTAGAGTTCAGGCCCCACGACCGGACCAAAAAAAAAAAGAAATAAGTCCAGGAACAGAGAAGGTAATTACTGTAAGGAAATAGTTTATTTAAGTGTTTATTTAGCAAAAGAGTTAATTTAACAAAGAGAAGGTGTCACTCAGGAAAAAAATGGCTTGTCCCTCTCTGAGTCTTGGAGCTATTGCGTTAACCCTAATCCTCCTTTTTTTTCTCCTCCCTTTAGGCAATTTGTCAGATTATGGTTGGCTTGTGTAAAACAGGCAAGAAACTCCCCTGAGCAGTAGCCTCAGGATGGTGGGCCAGCCTGAGACTTTGTGACATTTCCCCCTTTTCTCTTTCCTGCCTTCTGGACTCCCATTCCACAAAAGGACTGTCTGTAATCTTTGTACAAAACCAAATCCAGGAGCTGGGTGCTGGAGGCTCACAGGTATAATACTAGCCACTCAAGAGGCCTCAATATGAGGATTGCAGTTTGAAGCCAGCCCAAGCAGGAAAATCCATGAGACTCTTATCTCCAATTAACCAACAAAGAGCCAGAAGTGTTGCTGTGGCTCAAGTGGTAGAGTGCTAGCCTTGAGCACAAAAGCTGAGGGACAGCACCCGCACGCATGTGCGCGCGCGCGCGCGCGCACACACACACACACACACACACACACACACACACATAAAGTCAGGGGCAATTTCTCAAATATTCTCTATCTACTTATGTCTGCAGAAGTATCACCCAGTCAGTGATGAGCTATGTCTCCTACTCTTCAG